ACGACAGCCAGAGACTTCATCACAATACTGAGATTAATGTGCAGTTTAAAACTTCTGAAGTATTTATTTCAAGGTGGGAGACAGAAATTACAGAAAGTGAAATTGAGGGTGGGGGAGACAATATTGATCATTCAGCTTTAAAAATGATCAATATTTTAGCACTTTTTTCATCTATCTCCCCACCACACACATTTTTAATAAAGCACTTTAAAGCAAATCCCAGACATCAAATATTTTTCAGATATACTTCAGCAAGAATCTCTGACAAGAATTTTTTTAAAAAACATAATCATAATGTCATTCTCCTAATAAAATTAATAAAAATTTCTTGATACCATTTAATATCCAGCCAAAGGTAAACTTCCCTTAAGAATATTTTCACTTGTTTGAATCCAGACCCAAACAGGGTCTGCATATTATGGGCTGAGGATTGAGCTCTCCTGTCTCTTTTGATCTGTCACGGTTCCCCCCATCTACACTTAGTTCTTGCGCCAGAGTGGCAGTTTTGATCATGATGTCATGGAACATTCCCTTTGTTCCTCCTTAAAAGTGGCTGTGTCATGTGGTAGCTGGGTGTGGCCCCAGTTGGAGGGCCTAGGGAGGAGTGTCCCAGTAGGACCATGTTGGGTTTGAAAAATTGGTAGTGTCTTCTTGGGAAGTAGGGCTAACAAAGAAAGAATAAACTTATAGGATAGCATAAATCTAAATTAGACCAATTGGGTGAAAATATCTGAGGGGTCTTGAGGGTTTGTTTTGCAAAATATATCCAGGTGGTTTGAATGTGTAAACAGGAATTGCGAACCAAAGATTTAGATACTAAGGCTTGAATGGTTCAGCTGAACACTCCTCAGCTTGTGGCCCACTCCAGCAGGTGGTGCCCACCTGCAACCTTGAGAAAGAAGAGGAGGTAGGTCAGAGGGGCAAGTCCAAGTTGAAACAGTAGGAAGTCAGAAGTTCCCGGGGCCTCCAGCTGCTCTTGGTTGTAAGAATTCCCGTGGTACTGATGTGTATCCTCAATTAAGGATGTCATAAACTTTTTAAAGAACGAGGACAGGTATTTTGGTTTAGAATATCCAGAAATATGAGAGAAAGAAAGGAACAAACACAAGAGGAGCGTTTCTACTTATAACATGGTGAATGTTACAGGGAAGGGTTTCCTTCTGAAGCTTTTATAGTTGAGGTAGGCTGTACACTGTAGAGTGGATGTTTAGGCAGTCAGATATGTGTCTGGAGTTCAGCGCAGGAGATAGGACTTTGTTAATCATGAATATAAAGATGGTATTTAAAGCAATAGAATGGACAAGAACACGTAGTGAATGAGAGATCGACTCCCTGGAAGCCACCTGAAGAAGGTGTTTATGGAACTCCTGTAAGGGTTTCTCTGAAGTATACACAGGAGGTTTCTGAGTCTTAAAGCATCCTGATGATTTCTTTCACTAAATGCTACCAGACTGCGGTACATACAGAACGTATTTACCTGCTCAGATTTCCATCAGCAGTGCATGAGGAGTCCCATTTCCCCATATGTTTTGTCAATAGTTGGGATTATCTTTCTTTTTTAAAAATTTCAGATTAATATGAGGGTACACATGACCAGGTTACAATGGTCGCATTTGTTAGATAAAGTCCCTGCTACACTTGTGTCTTGCACCCAGGAGGAAGCGGGCCACATATTCTTACATCGTCCCCATTAGGTGGGAGCACACCAATCCCCCGCCCTCCTCTCTCTTCCTCCCAACTTGAATTGAGTTTTTCTCTTGTGTAGGCATGTATTAGATCATCTACTGGTTTCATCCTAGTATTGAGTATATTGGATATTTGCTTTTCCATTCATGTGATACTTTGCTAAGAAGAATGTGTTCCAGCTCCATCCAGGTTAAAACAAAAGATGTTAAGGCTCCATCTTTTTTGTGGCTGAATAGTATTCTGACAGCTGGTGTCTTTCATGGTCCTTTTTTTTTTTTTTTTTTTTTAAAGACTTCTTTCTAAAAGATTTACTGGTTTCTTTTTTGGAAGTTTTAACATAAAAGATATTTTCTTTTTTTAAGTTAAATAATAGCTGTGTACATTAATGTAATCATGGGTTACAGTGTGCTGTTTTCATATGCAATTTGAAATATTTTCATCACACTGGTTAACATAGCCTTCGTGTCATTTTCTTATTAGTTAGTTATTGTGTTAAGATGTTTAGCCTTTTGTTGCTTTCTACACCCACAATGTGGAAACAACATATGTAGATAATGCAAAATAGTGGATCAACATAGGCCTTCAGATCAGAAAGACACAGGTTTGAATCTTATTTCTGCCCCTGGGTACCCGTAGTAAGTTACTGCCTTCTGGAGTCTGTTTCTTCATTTGTAAAGTGAAAACAAGTAAGATTCCATAAGTAAACTGCCTTATGGCAGTCAGTTGGTGCGTTATACCCTTCCCCATATGGTAATGTTGACCACAGATGCTGATCACCTCCCGGCACTGGTGTTGATTGCCACATCATTCAGGAGCCTTGTGCCTGCAGATGGAATTGAATCTCAACAGCCACAGCTGGTCCTGTTCCCATGTGTCTTCCCACTCCAATGGATAGTTCAAGTTCTGGGCCTGTATCATTGTCCGGTCTCTCTCTTGTATGGCACATGTGGTTTTCCAGGAAGCGTGACTTTAGTGTGTGCTTATATTCTTGATGATGGTCTAGAAGGGAGTAATTTCACTTTTTAAAACAAAGGCAACTAGGTGACTATGAGACTATCTCGCTCTCGCTGATGGCTCCGTAATTGTGGGAATTTGTATACGTGCTGCGTGGTGTTTGGGTGTAGCAGAAAAAGCCAGTGGCCTGGCTGGTTCTCATAGAGATCTTTGTTATAGCTAAGAACGACTCAGCTAACCACACCTTGTCACTTAATAAGAGTAGTATCTCAGAGGGATAATTTGAGTCAGCAATAAAAGTGAGCTGTATACCTGTGCAAACCTCACCAATAGCTCCTTCTGTTACCCTTAGATTTTTATGAGTATCTGGGATTTAATGACAACAGGCCTCATTTACAGGTGCTTAAAGCCAACCTAGGGCAGATTGCATTCCTTCTTTTAACCAGTTGAAGAGGTAGGCAGATGGACTGGAAGAGAGTGTGATAAAAGCTGGGGAAGGGAGGTGGAGTCCTCTCAGGGAGGAGGAAGCATCCCTGAGAAGGCACGAAGGTGCTGAGCCTGCAGGGACAGAGAAACTGGCAGCTGACCAGGGACGTGGGATGGCCATGGTATTTAAATGTTGCATAAATATCGTGGGCTTTAGTTGACAGTGAGCCCCACCGGATCCAACAATGTGATGTGACTGCTGCACACAACTATTTTGGTATTTTGAGCTTTGTTAACACAATCATAGGACCTAGAAAGAGGTGGCAGTCTCTCCTCTCTGCGCTTGACAGCCACCCATTCGTTCCTGAGAATCACATTTATGAGAGCTCTAGAGAAGCTGGAATGCATCCTAAAGAGTCCCCCCAAAGGCTGGTGAGTCATTCTGTAACTGTGTCATTTAAGAAGCAGCCTCCACGGACACACATGCTTGTCCTGGATACCTTAAATTGGAGTCATACTAGATCTGAGAGTCCCCAGGGTAGAAACAGAATCCAATAAGGAGATGCAGGGACTGGGATTTTAGCTCTCACTGGTAGAAAGAAATTTTCCAAAAGCTGGTCAAGGATAAAATGGCTGCCTTTAAAGTTGGTGAATTTCTTACTACAGGTTTATACTCCAGGTGAGTTTTTTACTACCGTCACTTGGTGGTAGGATATTGTAAGGAGGATTCGAGCAACTGGAATGGGGTCTTTTTCTAGTTCCTGGAATCAGATTCTTCGGCTTGCGGTGCGCACTTACCTCTGCTCCTGCAGGTGCTGGCAGACATTCACTCAACATGTTCCTGCCCCGCACCGTGAGAGGTGAACACGGAAGTCCACTGTAGTGGCAGTGCAGGCCTCAGAGGTGCTACGCGGTGTAACACTATTGACTCTGTGCTCCAATACCTCCGTCTTGTTCTCATTAGGTTTCTTCATCAAGAGAACTCATTAAGTGTCAAGTCACGCTTTTCCACCAGGTGACTGAGAGCCAGGATGTCAGAGTTCATGTCTGCTAGGCGTCACAGTTTTACCACTGTCCCGCTGTTTTTGGATTCTGGGGAGATGGAGAGGGGGATCCAACGAGAAGGTGAGGAGGGAGCCAAGTCATAGGGGAGGAGAACCGGACTGCTCACTCCTCCTCTCTGCCTTCGCTGACACTTTTGGTTGCGCAATTGCTGAACAAGGGGATAGCACTGCCAAGGCCTTTGCGACAGGACTTGCACTCAGGTAGGTGACTGAAGGATGTGTCTACTCTAGGGCATGCATGGCCCGACGGGGGGAGCCCAGAAAGGGTAACACGTGGTTCCCATCCCGACGGAGCGCTTCTAGTCCGGCATGCTAGACAGAGCAGACTGGGCCAGCCAAGGGCTTTGAGGAGGTGGGTACGCACAGACTGTCAGGGGCTGCAGGTGGTCCTCAATCATTGCCCGGGGCCAGGAGGGCTTTCCCCGAGAGCCGGCCTCGCCTCGGCTGCGGTGGAAATGTCATCGTGGCGCCTCCGCGCTGCAGTACTCTAGGAGCGCCCTCCGACTGGGCTCCGGTCCAGGCCGCCGCGACACCGTGCGCTGCCAACCTTCCGCCAGGCGCGGGGCGCAGGGGCGCGGGCGGAGGCGAACGGGCGCAGGCGCGCGCTCCCCGCCCTCCGTCCCCGACTCCCCGGCGCGTGCGCGGGGCCGAGGCCGAGGCCTGCGCGCAACCCGGGCTCCTGCACTGCGCGCGCGCACCGACCTCGCGTGGGGCCCGGCTCCGGTGCGCGCGGCGCGGAAGCGGCAGGCGGGAGGGGCCCCGGCAAGGTCGGCAGCGGCGCGGCGGGAGGCTCCGCTGCTGCCCTCGGAGACAGCGCCAGCTGGGGAGCGCGCCGCCCGGCCTTTCCTCCGCGACCCCGCGCCCCTAGCCCGCCGCCCCGAGAGGACCCGGAGGAGGCAGGTGGGGCGGGGGCGCGCGGGTCCCCCGGGCCAGGGCGGGCGGACCGCGGGGTTGGGGCCTAAGGGGCAGTTGGCGGTTCGGGAGGGCCCTGCGGAGGCGCTGGGGGCTCTGGAGTCCCCCTGGGCGCTGGTGTCGCCGGCAGCGCGGAGGCCTCCCGAGGGCGGCACGGCCCTCCCGGTGGGGATGTGGCTTGCCGGGTTCCGTTGCTGACGGACGGTCTGACTTTTGGATGAGATGCCACGAGGTGTGCGGGACCGACAGGACCCGGCGGCGGAGCTGGCTTCTGGCCCGCGCTCTGCCGCTTCCGCTGCAGGTGCCCTGGGGGTCCCGCCCGCCTGCAGTGCTGTGCTGCGCGCCGTGCCCTGTCCGCGGTCATTTCCCTGCCACCTGCCTCTTCACCGTTCTCACTAGTCTCCCCTAGTTTGTTACATTGTTGAGAAACCTCTTCCTAGTGGGTATTCAGCGCTAAACCAAATGACCGTCCTTCCTGTCCTTTGCTACCCGGAGACTCCCTAATTCTGTATTAGCCATAATGGTAAGGGAAGTTAGGCACTTGAGCGGAGACCGGTCCTAAACAGTCCCGTTTTAGGATTAGGTCCGTGGGTTTAGAATTAATTTAGCGTTCTTTGAATTACATGTCAGGTGGTTCACGTCTGCTGGAGACTGTATAGGCCACATGGATTTGAAGGCTGTTGGCACAGTGTTTTCATATGTATCTTATGGGATAATAACTTGCTATATGTTCCAGGCTAGACTGGTTCTTCACAATTTAAAGTAAATCATCTACATGGCAGAAGATCAGGTGGGGCAGGACAACTGTAGAGGGAAAGCAGAGAGTTGATAATGACAGAATTCCAACTTCCTACATTTTCATGTTCCAGAACCGTTTTATTTTGCTGTCGTACATATGATGCATTTTTTAAATGCTTTCATTTGATATGGACCACCTGGACTGCAAGACTGAATCTGGAAATGCATAAATTGTGTTTATTTCTATTTTGTGGGATATTTAGCACACGGTTTACTATTTGTAGGATTTATTTCAGACATTTTGGATTTACTGGATACAATCTTAACCAGCAATCCCTTTAAAAAAAAAGCGATATTTTATATGTTGTCTTTTTATTGCTTGTAACAATTCCAGTTTGAAACATGTTTGAAATTAGTGGTCTTGAGGTTATAAAAGCAGCTCCACTCTTTCGCTCTGTATAAATCTTCAAACATCTGGTCTTGTTCCCTTGTTAATTATTTTTAATTAACTGTGCTGCTTATGGGCTTACTTGAGTGTTAGCTTTTGTTTCTTGTTTCACACATCTGTGTATTATTATCTGAAGAATGAGCAGTGCAGTTCTCCTTTAGTGCTGTTCAGTAGAATTTTCTGAGACGGGAGAAGTGTTTGTTTTGCATTGTACAATGTGGTAGCACTAGCCACTTACAGCTTTTGAGAGCTTGAGTGGGGTTGGAGCAAGGGAAGAACTGATTTTTCTTTTTCATCTTTTTTTCTGTTTTTTTTTTCTTTTTTTTTGAGACAGTCTTACTCTGTTGCCTAGGCTAGAGGGCCATGGTGTTAGCCTAGTTTACAGCAACCTCACACTCCTGGGTTCAAGGGATCCTTCTCCTTCAACCTGAGTAGCTGGGACTACAGGCACCCTCCCTGTCACCCGGCTAATTTTTCTATTTTTAGTACAGCTGGGTCTTGCTCTTGCTCAGGCTGGTCTCAAACTCCTGAGCTCCAGTGATGCTCCTGCCTTGGCCTCCCATGGTGCTAGAATTACAGATTTGAGTCACGGTGCCTGGCCTAAGAATTGCATTTTTAATTTAGTTACATGCAGCTGATAGCTACCTGGTCAGACATCACAGCTTTTCATAATTGGTCCCCAGGAAGCCTTTACTGACCCTCTTGAGTCTGTATAGGGCCCTGCTCTCCTTAGTAAAGGCATTTATTACTATTGTACAATAGTTGTGGCTTGCTTCTAGAAATCCACTCCTAGACTGTACTCTAATGAGATTTCTGTGTCTGTGTGTTTTGTTTTTTACCTTTGCTATGCCCAGCTTAGGACTTAGTAACATTCAGTATTTGTTGGATGCGTAAATGAACGTTTTGAGGGCAGGTGTCTTACCTTTTATATCCTCTCTAGGGCCTCCCGCTAAGTTCCAATACTGTAAATACCTACTTAGTAATTGAACAGATGTTACATAGGTAGCAAATAAAAAGATCATTGGAGATATGCTTTAAATGCTTATTTGGTTATGTTACTTCATTTGGAATATCATAAAAATGAGACTCATGACAGAGTCTCAGGAAGAATGAAAGTGTGTCATGATTCCAACTGACGCGGATACAGCTTGAGTCTCCTAGCTGTGCTCTTAGGGTCTCTGCTGCTGCTCTTGAATCCTATCTCAGATAAATCCAAAGGGTCCTTTTGGCCTCAGTGAAGCTCTAAACCACTCTGAAGACATCATCGAACAGCCCCGCTTACTGCTGCTCTGTGTTAAGGCAAGGACCAGAGATCCTTGAAAAACCATGAGATACTGAAAGCCGTGTTACAAGACACTTTTGCTCAGAGCTAACTTGGGGTGGTAGAGTAGGATGGAATTTCTATTTAAATCAAAGTTTGGGGAATTTGATCCCAGCTGTTAAGTATCATGGGCATCTGTTCTGTACATAGTTAATTAGGACTGACTTTTTAGGTTAGGGTTACTTTATATAATCAGTTATCACCTGTTAAACACAGTAGGATTTGGAATAAAAGTTTTAACTCAGAGAAGTATACCTCTACATTCGACCAAGATTCTAGGTTTCATCCATTTTCAGATCTAGAAATTGCTTTTAGGGAATGATTCTGAGACCATATGTAAATTTATAGAGGTGTATGGTTTTCTTTGGTGGATAAATGGTAGAATATTTGGGTTTTCATGAAGGAAAGGAAAATGGGAAAAGAGAACAATGCACCGAAGACAAAATACAGTGTTCACTACATTGATCAGGTGGTGTGGTAGCTTCTCTGGACTTGAAGTATAATAATGAAGTTGGTTACATCTTGTTGCATGAATTATCTTTCCACCTTGAGTCTCGGATTTGACTATTTGTTAACTATGTATAAGACACTATTCTAGCTCCTATGGTAAATGGTAGTTGGGTAAGATACATTTTTTATCTTTAACTCTTGATAGTGTATGAGGAAATCAAAGATGCTCTGGGGATCACTTAAAAAAATTTTTTTTGACCTACCCTTTGAAAGGGAGGTCACTTTGTTATTCCTTTTAACTGACTCAGAAAGATAACCATTTAATCACTTTGCTGAAGACTTAACAGTATAAAAACCATCTGAATCCCAAAGTGTGATGTTAGTCCGATTAGTCTTCCTAAAACAGCTTTAATGATGCCATTCCCTTTTTTAAAAATAGTAGTTTCCAAGTGCCCATGGAATTAAGTGGCTTGGTCTTTGGTCAGGTGTTTAAGAACTCTGCAGTAGCTGGAACTAACCATTACAGCTTCGCCTCTATTTTCTTAGCCGTACCCCAACTTTCAGCCTGCTGTTCCTGTAATATGCTCCCCTTTGAAATTTCTACCCCAGTCTCTGCCTACCCATCTTTCAAGAGTCATCTCAGGTGATACCTTCATCACTGTACCGTTTATGATTCTTAGAAGCTTCCATAGCACATGTTCCTGGTACTTATGTGATGGAACGTATCCCATTTTCTCTCATTATCTATAGTTATTAGTGATATTTTATTCACCCTGGTAGATTATTAGCCACTTAACAAGCATGGACCATCTGTTTCTCTTTTTTAGTCTCTGAAACATCTAGAATAGTGCCTTTTATGTAGTGGCTCCCTAATAGACAATTTTAAAGTTTTATTTATGTTCCTCAATTTAAAAAGAAGCCTCATACCCTTTGAAGAATATTTACCCAAGTTTCCTGCCAAGAAGGTAGAGACCAGCAAGTACAAATCCTGGGTTAGGGAGGAACTACAGTGTTGAAGGAGGGCTGTCTTTGTGGTATGCTGGACTGTTGGGAATTGATAGTATTTGAGGAAGATCATCACCACTCCTTGACCTTGTCATTTTACTACGTGTGTGGCAAGGTTAATGTCAAAATGATTCAGAATATTGGGTGGCAAGTAATCTTTGCATCTAAGAAAATTTGAATACCTGTAGGTTAGTAACAACTGGAGTAGATTATTTAATATATAAATCACATCACTATAAATGTATACTTTTTGAGAAAAAAGAGAACGTCCTACTCTTTATCAATTACATGAATATTTAGAAAATATATGTATCAAGTTAGGAAGAAATCAGTTCGGAAAAGTGACTTTGTTTCTTGGAGTGGGGTGGTGACGGTAAAGACAAGTTAGATCTAGAACTGGTTAAGCCAGTATCAACAGAGCACACATTGAGTACTATCTAGTATGGCGTTATCTACTACTAAAGTAAGCTGCCAGTTAATAACTAGTTTTTACTTTATTCTTTCTGCTGCAGTAGTCTAAAATCATTTTTTATCTGGTTTTATAATACGATTTTCTGCTTATATTTAAAGCAGAGGGTTTCAGTGGTATCTCAGATTTTAAAGATCCGATGCAATTGGAAGGTTTTTAGCTTCCCAGTTCAGTTTTACTTAGCAAGCATTTTCTGCACTTTCCACATAATTTCTGAGCTGTAGGCTGGGGGGTGTAGCACACGTCTAATTGAGAGCAAATTTATTCTAAACACGTTTTCTGGGAAAAAGAGGTCGTAAAAGCCACATGGTTTAAAAGGCATGGCCTTTCATCTTCTGCTGGGATAAAACAGACCCTTGCAGATTGTTAAGTGTACAATCTCAGTATGCTCTTGAATTTGTAAGAGCAACGCAATTAATTTTTGGTAAAGTTTTCTTGGCTATCAGAAAATAATAGAAACATTTTCAGCTAGGTTATTTTCATATGATGAACTCACAGCCTGAGTTATTGGATGACAAATGATGTAAACTGTGTCAGCGTTGTGCGAAGTTGAAGATCCCTGTATGGGGGTAAACTTGCCCTTGTTCATTACCATGAGTAACAACAGGATGTCACCCGTTTAGAGCAGGTCATCTATGTTATTGGGAAATAAATGTTTTAACTTATGTTTTATTCCTGCTGAGTTTTGTCTAGAAAGATTACACGTGCTACGGACTGTAAGAGGCAGTGTAAAGCATGTTTTTTTTTTCTTTTTTAAAAACACCAGTTTGCTAAAAGGATTTTTTTTTTACTTTTGCAAAAGAGATTCTTGAAGGTTAAAGTTGAAAATGTCAGTAGTTTGGACATTAAGGAACGTTAATGTTTTTTGTGATTGAGACGATCATTCTATGTTGCATACATATAACATAGAAGCTCTTTTTCTTTCTTCCTGTAGGTGGCTTTCTAGAAGATGACCATAGAGGACCTGCCAGATTTTCCAGTGGAAGGAAATCCTTTGTTTGGAAGATACCCATTTTTATTTTCAGGTTCTGATACCCCTGTTATCTTTTCCATTTCTGCAGCTCCAATGCCTTCAGACTGTGGTACGTAAAGTAGTTGTACTTATGTTCTGTGAACTTGTAACTGGACTTCTGTATCGTGCCCTTTTTTCACTCAGAAGTTTTCCTAAAATGATTTTTTATGGTCTTTATAAAACGGCAAAGGTTCTCCTTTTTCAGAAATACAATTGCCCATTGCTTTTTCTGCTTCTTAAGCTAAATGCTTTATTTCTGCTGTCAGCATTTTTATTATGTTAAAATGTTCATTTTAAGAACCATGATGGATTTAGAGGATTTTATTTTTAGCATGCAGTTTAGATATCTAGCATTCTTCTGCTATTGATGTATTTATTTTGGTTAGATGTACTGACTTGCTAAAAAAGTCACGGACTTAGGGGAAGAGACCCTTCTCTGGAATGTGGAATGAGATTAGTTAATATTTAAATTGGTCCATTTAAATCTGCTGTGTAAAATGGTGATTTACAAGCATTCCACTTTTCATCTATTTCGACTTATTTCCCCAGGTAGTTGATAAATGAATAAAAGAAAACCAGGAGGAAATCTGATAGGACGTTACATTTCCAATTTAGAGTTTTCCAAGTAAAATATTTTTCACTACTTTAGGTTGTCTTTGGAGGTAGAGATAATATAGTTTTAAAATATTAGTAGATAAAGTTATTAGGTTGGATATGACTAAAAAGGAATTCCTATTCTAGTGCAGTAATTCCTTATCTTCAAGTAACCCTCCCTTTTTTTGTATTCAGATTCTGTAGCAGTTTCTATAGCAGTCATCAGAAGCATTACATAAAATCTGTACCTTAATCCTAGGAGTTATTTGCAGCTTTTATAAAAATAGACTGGGTTTATTTTCAGATATAACAAAATCAGTTATGCAGGGGAAACCTTGAACTAAAACACACTGTACCTTGCTTGTGACACTTCTCATTCTATCTGGAATTATAATTGTCTTTTTTTCCTTCTTAGACCTTAGCTCTTTGAGATAGAGTAGCAATCTTTTTTTTTTTGTCTCATAAAGGTGAATATGGTCATTTGTTGGTAATAGTTGCTCAATGTCTGTTGAATAAATATATTGAATGAAAGGTGATATTGGATATCGATTCCTTTGTATAGGGGAAATTAAACATTATCTGTCTTCTTGGCACTGCAGGTTCTATCTGTATGGACCCGTATCAGCTTTGCCTACTCTTTTCAGAGTCCCTGCTGGATAACATATGCTTCTTGCATATGTTCAATAATGGGAAACTAATGGGATAGTCAATTTATTGCTAAAAAGCTTTAGTTGTGATGAAATTATTTTTGTATATGAACTCAAAATTTGCTTTTCTGAAGCTTTAGCCAACTGATACTAGTTTGATATGTGGAACAAATCCTCCTTTATATGGGAGCCTTCAAATATTTCAAGATAAATTGAACATTTTTACTTAATCTGTGTTTCTTTAGATAAATTGAACATTTTTACTTAATCTGTGTTTCTTTAGATAAATTGAACATTTTTACTTAATCTGTGTTTCTTTAGACTGTACATTTTTGACCCTTCACCAGCTTATTGATTTAACAAACATATATTTATTCAACAAACATTGAGTGAGCAACTGTTACCAACAAATGACTATATTAGCTTGGAAGAGAAAAAAAAGATTGCTACTGTATCACAAAGAGCTACGATCTAGGAAAGGGTTTCTGGACCTTTGCATCTTAGTTGTTTTCTTGGTGTGCCGTGGTTGGTCTCCCCTTAAGAAATGGCACCATAATGGCATTTATTCAGCGAGTATTCACTGAGAGCCTCTGGTGTGCCAGGTGCTGTCCTGGATGCTGGGGTATCATGATGACCAAGTCAGACCTTCCAGTAGGGAGAACAAACAAACTGAAGAGCAGACAAAACAAAAACAGGTTGTAGGGAGTTGGGTGGTGCTGTGGGTGAGTTGGGCAGGGCAGTCATCTGGAGAATCAGAAGGAGCCAGTCATGAGAAGAGCCTGGGAAGAAGTGTTCTTGCAAGAAAAACAAACCATTAAAGGCAGAGTTGGGGGGAAACCTTGATACATCCTAAGAATTAGTGGAAGAGCTTAGTGGCGGAGTCACAAAGTGAATGAGGGAAAGAATGGGAGGAGGTGAAGCTGGAGAGTAAGGCAGGGGCCAGATCACACAGGGTCACTTAGGCTTTGGTAAGGAATTTGTGTGAGACAGAGTAATGAGATTAAAACCCAAACCCAGACCCAAACCCATCCCCACAGACCAGAGGCAGGCATGTCTGTGTGGACTCTCGAGCTGGTTACCCCTGTAAGACTGTACACTGTCCTGGTGCAAAGATTTTTGGAGTCCTTTCCTTTGAAATGCCTTCAGTGTCAGTTCACACAAAACACAATTACATATATTATAAATACCATAATATATTTTATTATTACTTTTGTTCAGGTGAATCATCTGTTACGTTTAAATAATCACTTAAAAATCTTATTTAGCTGCATATTGCCATGTCTAGCGTTCGTCCTTCCGTTATCGAGAACCAGATTTTCATGCGATGCTGTTTTCCTTCTGCCTGAAAGACTTCCTTTCTCATTTCTTACAGTCCAGGGCTGCCAGTGCTGAGTTTTTTCTGCTGTTTTATGTCTGAAAATGTCTTTATTTCACCTTCTTTTTTTGAAACATGTATTTACTGGGTTTAGAATTTTGGGGTTGGTAATTTTCTTTCAGTGCTTTAAAGATGTAACTTTACCCTCTTCCCACTTACACCGTTTCTGGTGAGAAGTTTGCTGTCATTTTTGTCTCTCTGTATGGGATGTGTCCTCTTTTCTTCCGGGGCACTTTTAAGGTTTATCTCTTTATTATTGGTTTTGAGCACTTTCACGATGATGTAATTAGATATAATTTTCTATAGGTTCTTGTGCTGATCTGTGGTTTTCAGTTTTCATTGTTTTGGGAAATTATTATTTCAGATATTTTTCCTGTTCCTCCCCCTTTCTAGAGATTGCAGTTAATGTGTAGGTCAGACCACTTGAAGTTGTCCTACAGCTCACTGACGCTTTTTTCCGTATTTTAAAAACTCTTTCTCTGTGCTTCATTTTGAATCGTTTCTATTGCTGTTTTCAAATTCATTCATCTTTTCTTCTGTGGTGTCTAATTAATTAGCTGCTGATCTCATCCAGTACACTTTTCATCTTATTCAGATGGTGTTTTCATTTTTAAAGTCTGATTTGGGTATTTTTGATGTCCGTGTCTCTAATCAGATTTTGAACATTTGGAATGTAATTATAGTGACTGTTTTAATGTCCTTGTCTATTAATTATAATATATGTATCAGCTCTAGGTCTGTTCTAATGTGTTGTTCTCCTGGTTATGAGTCATGTGCCTCTTTTTGGTATGCCTGGTAACATTTAATTGGATTATAGACATTGTGCATTTTACCTTGTTGGGTAGGCTGGATATTCTTGCATTTATGTAAACATTCTTGAACTTTGTTCTGGGATACAGAAACATGGAAATTTGATCTTTTGAGGTCTTTATCAATTTCATTTAGTGCTCTGTAATTTTTATTCTGCTTCATTTTGAGCTAGCAGCCTCCTAAATCTATCAGTTTTTTCCATTAGAGTTGTGAAGATTCTAACCCAGTCCAATAGTCTGATCTTAAAGTAATCAGAAATCTGTATATGTCAGAATCTTTTTCATAAATCATCTTATAATTTTATATCTTAGCTGCTTGTCAGAGCTTTCAGGAAAACATCAGAGTAAAATAATAACTTTCTAAAGATGACAAATGGCTTGAAATGGCCATAGATAAAGATTTGATGACAGTTCATTATAATGCAGTTGACAAGGAAATTTGGTTATTTCTATGGCAACATTTTAGGATAATAACTGGAATTATGACTGATAACATACTGGAACATATTAGATTTTTAGGAACTCTATGTGATTACTGAAACATTTATGCTGATAATATTCATACAGAAATAAAGAAGGTTCAGCATCACCTTTGATGATGCTTCCCATGCAATTTAACATATCCAGTTATCTTGATTAGTTTCACTTTTATTTGACAATGTTTCCCATGCAAGTAAGCATGATTAGTTTAAGATCTCTGACGTTAATCTGAGGTTAGTCTGAGGTCAGGAAGACTTCATCCAGAGTTCAACGTTTGGGAAGTTTGTCAAAACTCTTGAAAGATTTAAAATGTTTGCTTAAATAAGATCAGCAGTATTTAGCTATCCATTTTACCAAAGTGACAGAGATTTCAAAGGCAAATTACAGAAAGCCATATAGTTTTTAAAAAGACCAAAAAAACCTCGGCTCTTTAATAGAGAAGTTTAGGTAATCAAAGACCTGGCAAAGACAACATGAAATACAGGTATAGCATGCGAATTTAGGAATACAGGAAGTTATTTTGGCAAAATACAGAATCTTTATTTCCTGTGAAGACCACACAAACGTTATAGAAAAACCTTTCACAGTTGCCCATCAAAAGGAGACCAATATTTGCAGAAAATTTTGTCATTTTAACACAAAGAGCTCAAATGCCAGTTTTGCATCACTTTGATATTACTGACAATAAATTCATTCAACTTTAACCAGCGTAACCATGCAAAATTCTCTCTCCCTCTTAGCAACTTTATATAGCCATTTAGCTTTTGTCCTTTATTTTTTTCGTCAGCAAAAAAACTACATCTTCATACCTCATACCTTATCTTGACTGTCATACTAGCATTCTGTAGATTAGCAAATCTATGGATACACCATAATTTCTAGAAGCATATTTCCTCATAGAATACTTTTTCAGTGTAGCATAGGACATGTTTACTAACAGATCCAAATATCTTTTGTTCCTTTGCCCAAAAGTAGATAAACTTATGTTTAGCAATTAATTTTTTCAGTATTTATCTTCTATTATCTTATGGAATTACATCAATTTAATTCCCTTGTTTTTAACAACTGTGCTCGGATTACTCATGAAAATTTCATGAGACATTAAATAGCTAATGATCATCTTATTTTTTTGCCCAGAAATTTTGTAACATAGAGATAGCATGAGCTATTTATTTGCAATTCAGTTGTTTTTAACATGAACTCATTTGACTTAGTAAGCCTGGGCAGAATGAAAGTTGTATGACTGTATTATACTTAATGCTGACAACTTTTAAAAAACTAAACCAACAATATTTTTGTTTATAAAGATTGTTCAAGTCACATGAACTTGAAAAGCATTTGGTTTGGTTCCTATTTTCTTTTTCGTTCCTATTTTTGTAAGAGTTTTAAGAATAGTTAATTTACATAAGAACTTGTTTTTACTTATGTCTGTTAAACATACTTAAATATATATGAACATACAAATGTAGAGATCTGATAGCTTTTATTTCAACATTTTAGCTTTGTTTCAAGCACAGTAATAAATACAGAGCTTACCAGTATACAGAGCTTGCTATTTTATAAAAATTGTGCCTCTGGCATATGGAACAAGTCAAGGTTACCTACCTGCTCAGATGGCTAAAGCTTTTTACTAAAGATTTTCCATTTGCATGCTGTAAGGACTCTTAGTGAAGGTATTTTGAATCATTTTTGTTTTTAGAAGCTTCTGCATGCAAATCAAGAATATATTCCATTGTCTCTGAGAGGTTTAGGATCCACTTCAAGGTCACTCCCGAAAGGTAGAGTGAAGGTTCCCCAAAGTGGTCACTGCAGTTCCAGATTGTCTTTTGGAGAAGGCATCAAACCCTGATCCACAGTTGGTTTTGGACCATGTGGAACCCTTCTTTGCATTAGATTATTTAAGAGGTCTTAACTGTAGTGGGGTCCTATTTTTCAGCAGCTATTCTGAAACACAGGGAATCCCATGTTTCTCCCCTACCCCACTTTAAACAGTGTAGGATTACCTAGTGAGAATCTTCAACAAAGGTTACTCAACAAAATTGGAGAGCTCAACACACAGAGCTTGGATACAAAAGGTAACACCAGAGGTTGGGTGAGAAAGCATTGAGGACAGTGGGCTCTGTGGGTACCAAGACCTGGTTCCTCACTGGCCTCAGGGCTCATCAGGGATCTTCTGATCCCACTTCTGACACCAAAACTGTCCTGCCAAAAATCAGAAAGTTTTTCTTAATATAAATATTTTATTGTGTGAGGAGCAATAAAACTTCAAACAAGGAGACCTCAAGACCAAAAGTAGTAAGAAGCTTGTCTCTCTCTCTTTTTTTTTTTTTTTTTACAGTCTTATCTTTCATTTGTTTTTTAATTGTTGGGGATTCATCAAGGGTACAAAGATCCAGGTTACAGTAATTGCATTTGTCAAGCAAATCCCTCTTATAAATGTGTTCCTCCCCCAAGAGGTGTGCTAAACACCATGACCCCCACCCCCTTCTCTCCTTCCCTTTCTCTGCTTCCTCATTCCCCTACCCCCCACCATGTACTAGCATCAATTGTCCTCATATCAAAATTGAGTACATTGGATTCTTGCTTCTTTACTAAGAAGAATGTGTTCCACCTCCATCCAAGTTAGTACAAAAGATGTATAGTCTCCATCCTTTTTAGTGGCAGAATAATATTCCATGGTATACATATACCACAGCTTGTTAATCCATTCCTGGAGTAGTGGGCATTTAGGCTGTTTCCACATTTTGGCGATTGTAAATTGAGCTGCCATAAATACTCTAGTGCAAATGTCCTTATGATAAAAGGATTTGTTTTCTTCTGGGTAGATGCCCAGTAATGGGATTGTAGGATCAAATAGGAGGTCTAGTTTGAGTTCTTTGAGGATTCTCCATACTTCCTTCCAAAAAAGTTATATTAGTTTATAGTCCCATTCAGCAGAAAGTGTTCCCTTCTCTCCACATCCATGCCAGCATCTGCAGCTTTGAGACTTTGTGATGTCGGCCATTCTCACTGGGGTTAGGTAATGTCTAAGGGTGGTTTTGATTTGCATATCTCTAAAATTTAGGGACGATGAGCATTTTTTCATATGTTTGTTAGGCATTTGTCTGTCTCCTTTAGAGAAGGTCCTATTCATCTTTCTTGCTCATTGATAGGAGGGATTGTTGGCTCTTTTTATGATGCTTAGTTTTGAGTTCTCTGTAGATCCTAGTTATCAATCTCTTGTCTGATTCATAATATGCAAATATCTTTTCCCATTCTGATGACTGTTTGCTTTGGTTGTTGTCTCCTTAGCTGTACAAAAGCTATTCAGTTTAATTAAGTCCCATTCATTTATTTTTGTTGCTGTTGCAATTACCACTGAAGTCTACTTCATAAAGTCTTTTCCTAGGCCAATACCTTCAAGTGTTTTTCCCCCACTTTCTTCAAGGGTTTTTATTATTTTATGTCTTAGATTTAGATCTTTTATCCATCTTGAATTGGTTTGTTTTCATCATATGAGTGGCGAAAGGTGCTGGTCAAGTTTCAGTCTTTTTTATGTGGTTATCCAGTTCTCCCAGCACCACTTACTGAATAGAGGTTCTTTCCCCCAGTGTATGTTCTTGTCTGGTTCATCAAAGATTAGGTGGCTATAAGATGTTAGCTTCAGCTCATGGTTTTCTATTCGGTTCCATGTGTCTGTGTCTCTATTTTTGTGCCAATATCATGCTGTCTTACAAATAAGATGATGATAATGCGTATATAGTGTGAAACAGGAAGATCACGTAGTTTAATTCTTACTGGTTGGGGGAGTGGGTTAGTTAGGCCGTTGCTGATTTGCTACCACATGCTTAGTCATGTTGAAAAAGAAATAAAGCTCAAGCTTCATTTATAGTTTATGTAGGTATTTTGAGAAAGAGATCTTATACATTTTTCAAAGTTGGGTATGGGATGTTGGCTTAGAGGCAAAGGTTTGTCTTGTCCTTTATTTTGACTTTGATTTTTGCTTAATAGGTGCATTTTTTTTTTTTTTGTCTAAGATTTTGAATATTTTCTCCCTCCAGTTTAGTCTTTGTGATTTTCTCCTACTGGATTGCTGTTCTACTTTTCCACATACCCTTGTTTCTGTGCCTCTCCTTCCATGTTTTAGTTATACTGATTCTAAAAGTAAGAGTTATGTATATGTAATATAATTTTGGAAAATATATAAAAATACAATGAGGAAAATTTAAAAATAATGTCTCACTACTAGTATATGATATTATAGTCTGCCTGATAGTGAGTGATCACAGCAGGTAGTATATAGAAGAAAGACAACTTTGGAGGCAGACTTGGTTGTCTGTCTAGATTTGTCACTTATTAGCTGTGTGACTTTGAGCTAAAGCCTATTTATTTAGTCTGAGCTTTGGTTTCCTCATATGTAACATGAAAGTGATAATTTGCCAAGGTGCTTGTGAGGATTTTGTAAGGTATTAGTTAAATTTTAAATGCTTGGGAAAAGTTAATTCTCTAATATTTCCCTTATTGGATACTTTTGCTTTTAAAAAAATTCCCTACTTTTTTGATTGTTCAAGACAGTAGACTCTGATTATTTTTTTTCCTCTTGAAATGTTTTTCTTTTTTCCTTCATGAACCCATTATCTTTTATTCTCTAGTTATGGAATGATACTAACTTTTCTCTGAATCTTAGGAAAGAAAGAAGTTTTAGGAAAGATTTAGATCATGTGTTTAATTTTATTTAGGATTCCATATTTTTACTAAGACATGGGTAAAAAGTGGTGTTTACTTACTATAAAAATTAGGAAAATACAGAGAGGTAAAGAAGATCATTTAAAATTAATAAGCTTAACTAAACACTTAATATTTTGTCACATTACTTCTTTTATTGTATGTTTTAATTATAGATGTGAATCTCCTGTTCATAACATTTGTGTATTGAGTGGCAAAAATATTGACAAAATTTGACAAATGTTCTGTGCCTTAGAAATAGTAGTTGGAAAATTCAGGGTTTGAGATCTGTATACTCTCGTTTGGTTTCTTCTGAAATAAAATGTGGCATGATACATGGCATTATTGTGTCACAACCCGTGCTTCATAGTTTTTGATGATTCTGACTTTGGTTTTGAGCATTGCTCGAGATGAGCCTACCTTTACTAGCATCTAAAGATATATGTATCATTTGAACCTTGGCCTTGTTGTTTATTATTTGCAACTCATTTATTTGAAACTTTTAACAAATTTATTTATACCTTTTTTATTTAAAACAGAATTCTCTTTCTTTGATCCCAATGATGCATCATGCCAGGAAATTCTGTTTGATCCCAAAACTTCAGTCTCAGAATTATTTGCCATTTTAAGACAGTGGGTTCCTCAGGTCCAGCAAAACATTGACCTTATTGGAAACGAGGTAAGGAATTCTTAAGTTTTACGTTTTGCATTATTAGTATTGTTAATAGTATAGCTCCCCCCCCCAACCGAAAAAAAAGAAGAAGCCGAAAGAAAAAACCCTTAAGGTCCGAAGGTTAATTTTAATTGGAATCCCAAGGTCCTCCGGGGGCAAGGAAATGGGGCCAAAACTTCCCCCCCAAGGTCCGGGCCTTCCTAAAACCGGAAAACCGAAAATAGAAAACCCTGGGGGGAACAAAAAAAAGCAATTTTAAACAATTTCCTCCTTTAAAAAATAAAGCCGCAAAATTTTAAGCAATTCAAGAATTTTTTTTTTCATTTTATGACTTGATTATCATCATGGTCTATCAACTCTTATGGGACTAGATAAAGATCTTGGTAAAGATCTAGGCTTACATATAATTTTTGATTGAGGGAGGATTCCTTGACCAATATGTCGTCATGTTGTAGGAGGAAAGTGCATATGTGTTTTTCAAATATCATTACACCTATTAGGAAGATAATTCTGCTCACGGTTGAGAGGAACACATTTGGAGTGCCAGATTACTTTGGAATAATCTTGAAGAAGTTTTTCTAGTTTGGTAATGAGTTCCAATTTCATTATTGTTGAGTACAGGTTTAAAATTTACTCTCAAGAGAAGGCAGTTCTATACCTTCTACTGAGAACTAATTCAGATAAGATAGACTAAGTTGATTCTCGAGCTTTGGGTTGAAAATAATTGTTATTTCAGAAGTTAGGTTGTTACCATGTTTTTCTTGGCTTCTTTAGATTCTTAAGAGAGGTTGCAACGTGAATGATAGAGATGGATTGACAGACATGACCCTTTTACACTACACCTGCAAGTCTGGAGCCCATGGTATTGGTAAGTATATGGTAAATCTCTTAATTGCGTAGATCATCTATTATAGATATGTTTCTTCTTATATAATCAATGTTTATGGTGATTGAAGTCCCCAGATGATTGAAGATGTGAGGATTCACTTAGGTCTTTCCAAAACCCTTGTTCCCTTTTCTCAGGGTGTGTTATACCCTCTGGGTCCCTCTCAACTTTCCTGGAACAGGCTTCATGTCTGATTGCTTGGTAGGTAAGAGAGACTGATAACACCCTAAAATCTTTCTGAGGGTTTGCAACAAGGTTTGACAATCCAAAGTCAGCCTTCAGGCATCCTAGACCCCATTCTTTAGGCTTGTTTAAGATGTATTCCTACATATATAAAATATGTACATATTTTCCAAAGTCATTTTATCTTGTGCTTTATAGTTTTTATAACCTGCTCTCCTTGTTTCAATAGGTTGATACAGTGTTTCTTAAACTATTGATGGTGAAAGACTTTCCCCACCTTCTTTTTCTTTTTTTGCAGTCTATCATGGGCTAATAATTTTGTAAAATAAAATAAAAATGAATTTGTAATACAAGAATGAAATAAATACATAAAACATAAGCCCAAATATTTTTCAAAAGGCATGGAATTACATTTCAATTAATATAACCAGGAGGATAAAAGGGGGAGAATGTTACAGAGAGTATAAACGGATTATAGTTTGGGACAGGCAGGGGCCCACAGAATTCACTTGGTGAACCACACTGATGTGGTGCGTTGTATATATTGGTGGCTTCATGGTATTTCATTATATGGATGTCTCCATTTATTTAATTGATTTCTCATTATTGTACTTTAGGTTATTTCAGAATTATGTGCATAATCAACAGTACACGGATGAACATGTTTACAGATAAGTGTTTATCTGTATCCCTGAGTATGATTGTTTTATTAGAATGAATTCCTGAAAGTGAAAATTTTGAAGTGTAAGTGTATAGTTAGTATGTTTTTTGCTTTGGCTTTTAGAATGAGTTGGTATGTAGCCATCCATTGGAATTCAATATATTTACTGAAGATAAATAATTAAGGATTTTTTTTTAGGTGATATTGAGACTGCTGTAAAATTTGCAACTCAACTTATTGATCTGGGAGCAGATGTTAGTTTGCGGAGTCGCTGGACAAATATGAATGCTTTGCATTATGCTGCTTATTTTGATGTCCCAGAACTCATAAGAGTAATATTGAAAACATCAAAACCAAAAGGCAAGTATTATAAGATCACCATTAGATGTTATAAATTGAACACTTTAGTAGTGGCATAAAAATTGTAATTCAAGGAGATTTGTGCTAATAATCCATCTTATTTCATATGCCTTGTTACTCCCATTTTTTTTGAGAAAGTTTAAACTTTCTTTATTGAAGATTAATTACTATTCTTTCAAAAAAATCATCATATAAAAAGATATAAAATAAAAAAGTGTTCCCAGCATTTTCACATGTTTACAGGTCCCCCACTGTAACATGGATTGTATGTGTAATTAATTCACATGCTTTCTGATGCTTTGTCTTGTTACAGTATCCAGAAATAGAGCAATAAAGTCTTCTGAAGTAGGCATTGAAATAATAAAGACTTTATTTTAGATGGCTTT